GTGACATTCCATCATCAAGTGGATCCAGAACCTTCACCAATCACAATGAACAGGTGTTCCCTCAGGGAGGCCTTGTATCTTGAGCAGCTATTGGAACTCAACCCAGACCTCAAATGGCATTTGTACATACAATCCAGTGGTAAAGATACTGGTTGGTACCCTGTATTGCTTCAGTAAGTACCTGACTCCTACTGTCCTCCACCTTTACAAGAGCCAAATCAGACCGAAAATGGAGTACTTTTGCCATATATGTACAAGAGCTGGCCAGTCTGCACTTTGCAGTCTCAATGAGAGCTCAAAAGGGTCTCTGTATCCTCCTTGTGGGACAATTTCTTTCTCATAGAAGAAATGTCACACGTCACTAGCTGCTCTATTGCTATATCCATGGAAAGTGTTCAAACAAACTACATTCCTTAGTTCCACCAGTTCTAACCTTCATGGTTAAGACACGCCATGCCACACACATTGTAGTGAACCACCCTCATTCCCTTCGTATTCAACTGATGAGATGTAAGTTCCACTCAAGCAGCTTTGTTTCATGAACCATTGCTGTGTAAAAAAAATAAATAAATAAATAAAATAATTCCATCCTCCAATAACTTTTTAGCTTTATCAGGGCTCTACGGATAAATTTACCTTTAATTGACCTTTGGCAACTAAATATTTTCGTTTACTAGCCAAATAGAAAAGTTACTAGCCAAATCCATGTAATGTTATTTCACTCTAATGTTATGAATAAAACAATTCCAGGTGAAGTTTTGTTTTGTTTTCTAATTCTCTAAGACAATACAGACAAAATTATAGGAGGAAATTTAGAAATTTCAAGAACAATTACATTCAGTGGTACTGTTACCTGGCAAATATCACTTAGAATAATTCAGTCAACTGACAAATACATGTTTGAAGATCTCATCAGTTTCAATATTAGTTACTAAACTTGAAACAACAACATCATAAAGACATTACATTCACTTCAATTGTTACCTGGCAAACTTTGAAACGTGTCATTTAGAAATATTCAGTAAACTTACTGACAAAATTTAAATGCAAATTTGAAGAAGATCTCTTCAGTTTTAAGATCTCATCAAAAAGTTTCAAAAAATATAACAACAACTAAACAATCCTCAAACAAAAAATCATAACAACAACAACAACCTCAACAAACAAAAAAAAGATCATAAATACATTATATTGAGTCTAGAAACTGTAGAACTATTTACAGTTACCTGGCAAATATCACTCAGGATAATTCAGTCAACTGACAAATGCAAGTTTGAAGATTGCATCAGTTTCAATATTAAACTTAAACTTGAAACAACAACCAACCTCATAAAAACATTACATTCACTTCAACTGTTACCTGGCAAAGGTGCCATTTAGAAATATTCAGTCATGATTTGCAGTTATTGTAACACTCTTAACAACAGGTTTTTACCTTATTTTCAATTTCCCTATCTGGTTGGTAAATGTCACTCAGAAATATTAACTATAGTAACTATAGTAATGCTGATCTAAGATCTTAAAGTGGGACTGGAAAGGGAAATGTCCAGATGGTCTGGCAAACACATACTGTGTCTTTGTGTTACTGACATTGAACTTATTTCTATCTGTTTCAAACTGAAATTTTATCTTTTAAAATGTATAACTCCATTTGCCCAATATTGAATTGCATTTACCTTTTTATTCCAATTTCCAGTCCCACTTTAACACTTGCTCAATTTGAATTGTCAAATCAATAGCTTGTGACTAAATCTTTTTGTTTTTAAACAGTACTGCTTTGTCTTTACATTTTCGATCAACAGACACAATGTTAGCTGGCCAGTTACACTGTCTTGGACTGAAGTGGTAAGTTTTCCATATCAAATGTAAACAGTCATTGACAGACTGCATAATAGGAGTTTTTTTTTGTAGTTTCAATAGGGCTAATTCAAGCCTATGTGCCATACAGTGAAAGTCTATGAGATGGGGAACTTCTTGCCTTAACAGTGACACAACACCATTCCTCTGTCCTGTATTCACATTGCCCCATCTACACAAAACCCAACAATTCTCAATGACATTTCATTATCACTGTTCCCCACTTTTGAAAGAGCAGATTTAGTAGCAGAGATAATGCCTTTAGCATGGCCATGTTCATTGGCAATAACTTCAACAAGTTTATTTTCTGCTTTGCCATTCAACAGTTCTCATATAAACTGCTTCATTTTCTGACACAGAGCTGTCAGTGGCACCATCAACCATAACTGACACATAATGAGAGTCACTGATAGATTCCAATGTCTCATCTCTGATCGTGCTTGCAATAGTAGACATCATTTCCCCACACCTAACATTGTTACTGTATGCAGGTGTCACAGGTAGCCCATTTTTGTATTGAAGTAAGAGTAAGGGCTTGAGTTTTGTAAAAGTCATTTCTTCCTTCCCTATAAAATAAACTGTTAAATTTAACTTTCAAATCCGTCAAATCCTATTCGTTTGATTTGATTTCTGCATCGAGAAATTTCTTGGCAATGTGAGACTTTTCAATTGAGTGTTTGCTTGTTTTATTAATGATAAAATCACGGCACTTGCCGTATCTAAGACTTTTACTATGGGCAAGGACATTTTCACATTTAAATTTAGTACTACCATCTACAAAATCAGTTTTTCCAGCCAAAGTTGAACCAGCCCCTCGACAAAAAATAACAATACATCGATTTTTTCTCTATCGTGAATAAAGCTAGGCGAAAAGTTGACAACCAAACTTGTCGGAATTCTCGTACAATGGACGGCTTACTTTCATTTTGTGCGTCATCATTACTTTGTTTATCATTCGGGACTTTCTTTTGATTCCCAGTTTCATTCAACATTTCTACTTTGTTCGATTTTGCGAAGAAAGCTGATATCGACTTTAGTATTGTTTTCTTTGTTGCCAGGTTTCTTTGTGCATGCTCAGAAACATGAATGAAACATGAAATTGCGAATAAAATGTGTGCTGCCATCATCAAAATGCCAATTAATATCTTGTATATTGTTCTATTAAACATTTATTGTTTAAATAATTTGACTTTGCTCGTTTTATTAAAAAAAAAAAAAAAAGGTTGAACAGACATTTTTCACTCAGTAATGAGCTTTGGAAGATTGTCGGTGAAAAAAACATAGTCGCCAAAAGATAAGCATTTTATTATTTCTAGTCACCACTTGGAAAAATCACTCGCAAATGCGACTGTTTCACTCGCAACGCAGAGCCCTGTTTATTAGCAAAAAGCTGCAGTCTTTCAGGTAATTGAAATTCTTTTTAATTAGGGCAATTCTGTAGACTGGAATAAACAGTAGTCTGAAAATGCAATATTTTGTGAATATAGCAGAACAGAAAAATCTTCCCCACTAAACTGCAACAATTTCTGGTCACTAAAGATGAATGCAACCATTCTTGATAAAATATTATGATCTTTCTTTGGACTAATTCCAGATGCTTCTTATTGATTGCTACCTTCAGCTGGCCCAATTAAGGGCAGCACTTCTTCAAACTAATTGTTTACTTTTCCCAAAGAAACTTCTAGTAGAGGACTCCTTTCCAATGCCACTACAGAATCACCTTCTTTGAATGAAAAATGGCTTGGATATGGTTAAAAGTGATTTATTTCATTTGCCACATGAACACTTGTGCTACACATTTTTGTGATGTATCTAATTTTCATGGCTCATCCAAATTTATTTAAAAACAAAAAACAGATGGAAAAAAACAAGGACCTTTTTGTCATAATTAAATAAATAGGGCCCAGTATTTTTGTTTGTTTGTTTAACTTATATGGAATCTATACATCAAAACAATATAATGAAGTTGGTGCAAATGATTTCCAATGCATGATTTAGATATTTTCAGCATATTGGCTATCTTCCATTTCATATAACATTGATTATTCTTAAGTAATGTCTTTATTTGATTGTTATTAACCTCAACTGGTTTAACCAACTGCAGAGCATCCTTCAGTAAAAAAATATTTTGCACAAAAACTCATAAGACACTTATGCAGTCATTACAAGTGCCTTTTTATAAAGCACACTAACCCTATTTATATTTCAATCATATTTTTACCTCATGAAAAAGAGACAATAAAAAGGCAAATTTTGACAAAAGACAGAATTAAAAGTAATCATTTGAAATGAATTTAGTTAAAACTAAACACTCCTAATGCCATCGTGGCAAAAAAAGTAGTCTTTTAGATTTCACTATCTATAAGGAAGGTTCAAGTGCGAAGTGAAAATGTTCTTTTCAGTTGATCATTGAAGAATATTAAAAATGCATTCTTTGTTCTTTTCATTTAAACTAAAGTGTGCTTGTGCACAGAACATTAGTTGTGCCATGAAAAAAAATGACTGTAATAGTTAAGTTTCTGATATGTTATAAGTAAAATGTAATTATGAAATTACTTTATGCTTAGCTAAAAATAACAGAAAATTCTATCTATTACATCATCAGAAAGGTCCACTATATCAAGATAGGAAATTCATCCATGTTGTGAACTGTTATGGTGACATAAAAAAGGTCTTTCTTTTTATCTCTCTCAGACACACACACAAACATGCTGAATTTTATGTGTGTGTTAACAGCAATTGGGAGAGCAACATCTTTTATTCAAAGAGTGATATTTAAAAAATGGTATGTTTTAAAAAGATTTTTTACAGAGTACCTTATCTCACATTTCCAAGTTTTTCAGTATTGTAAACAATCAGAAAAACTTTAAAATGTTTTCTCAGCTATAAATTAACAAAAGCCTCCAGTTTTTAATGAATTTGATAATCTATAATTTAACACAAAAATAAAGCTTTAAGTTTATGTAGTCCAATGTAATTTTTATAATACTAAAATTACTATGTTTATTGATTTATTTAACTTAAGTACAGCACAAAAACACAACACTTACTGTTTGAATGATGAAAACACTGGCCATTCTGTATTAAGTGAAATGACTTGAAAAAAAGTCAATATATATTTAATAAAAGTTATGTGCACCTACCAGAAGTGATACTGATATTAGGCATTGATTGACTGATACACACATCATTTTCCAAACATTGGGCTTCAGTAGCAGTCTCCACACTATCATGTAGGGAGCTGTCTTGATTATGTAAGGCGTCTGGAAAAAACAAAGAAATTTTCCTTTTTAAGGTAGAATTGATTATTAAAAAAAAAACAAAACAACAAAATAAATTTTGAAATACAGCACTGAAATAATTAAAATAATTTGACAAAATAAAATGTACCCATGGGAATGAAACAATAAAGAACACTATGATGATGATGATGAAATTTAAAAAAAAAAAAAATGATCAAAGAAAATTATTTTCAGAAAATAATTAAAAATTGATTTATAATCAAATAAGGTTAATTTTCTTTATTAAGTCTCAACTGCACAGGCTGGTAAACATAAATGTCCACTAAAGTAATGGGAAATTATAAAAAGGGTGTTGAAAGGTGCTGACACAATTCCCAAAATCAATATCGCTAAAAGGATAAAATACTGATTTTGGGAAAAGGGATGGGTCAGACTGAACATTTTTTTAACCCCCTTCTATATAAGTTTATACAGAAGAATGGATAACTTTTATCTACAAACAAATGAGTAATATTTCAGTATATAATGTTTTAATCCAAAAACACTGCAAAGGAAAGATTGCCAAATTATTTTACAAGGTATAGTTTTCGTTTTTCTTTATCATTAAAATTATTGATAAGACTTTTTTAATATACCAAATGTTTGTCTGCATCAAATCTAATATAAAAAGGCAGTTTAAGAGGCAAGAAGAAGAGTTAGGTTTAATCTTCCAAACTTCCTTGTTTTAAGAGAGGGAGAAAAGAAAGCATCAATGGATTTCTATATAATTTCTTATTTTTTTTATTTAGATTTATAAAGACTTGGCAGAAATTTTAAAGTGCTGTCTACCAAAAAGATGAAACACATATGTGTTTTTTTTTGTTTTTTTTAATATTATCCCTTTAAATTTAGATTTTGTGTTGACAAACTTGGAAAGAAAGGAAAGAGCAAATTTTTATAAATTTGATAAAAATAAAAAAATTCAAATTTACATTAAACCATAAGTTATTTTTTTTAAAATCTTGATCTGACAATTCAGATTTTTTAGTAAACATTTAAAATGTTCAAAAACAGTAAAGTAAATAAATGGCTTTTTCTTGTAAAGTGAAAGAGAAATAATAATATAGTCACTTGTACATTTTTAAAATACAAGTAACAAGCCATATTCCCTTACGTGTTTCTAGAGGTGTAAAAAATTAAATTATTTGAAAGTTCTTAGTTTTATAATATTTCAACATAGGGAATAAAAATTTGGCTCATTTATGGAATCTTACAAGAATAGTAGACCAGACACCAAAAATTATCAAACCAATTTTTGTTCAAATAATCACTTGCGGGATATGTATTTAAAAACTGTCTGCATAATTTGATTGAATAATACCTTCGATAAAACAAGATAAAAAGTAGTTGAATTTATTACCTTTCTTTATGCTACTCATGAACCAAACATGTAAACAACAGACCTACAGTACGAGCGCATAAGACATGTATTTTTTTTTTTTTTTTTCGAAGACGTTAAGATTCACATGCAGGTATTTAGTTAAAAAAAAAAAAACAACTAAAAAAACTATTTCCAATTATAAATCTTTCAGAATTTAGCATTCAAAGGATTGTTGTCCACTGTAATATCCAAAACAAAGAATTTTTTTTATTTTACATTTCTTAAAAGTAGAAAGAATCTCCTTTGCAAGAAATTTTTCATGTTTTTTTTTTTTTTTTGGCTGAGAGGCAACTGAAATGCATGTTGTAAGATTTACTTTTAAGCCAACAATTGAAAATGTTTTTATAATCTACACTGGTTCCTACAGTTCAATATTTTTGTAACATCACTTTCCAGCAGAAATGCAGGAACATTTTTCATACTTACTATTTCTAAAGAGAAAATGCAAGTATTTAGGTAGTTTATTTACTTGATAAATAGTTAGCTGCTAAACACCTTATTTCACGCAGTATAATGTGAAATCTTCCCATAGAAAAGAACTCTAGAGACTAATTAGATCAACATTGACATTCTATGATTTTTAAGTCCGTTTTTAATTCACATTCAATGATTAGTAACTGTCAGTTTCTGTTATCAATTAATAACAGTTGTTCTGGCAGTTACTTTTTTTTTTTTTTAATAATTTCTTTTATATTTTACTTTTTATTGCAAGGCATTTTCTCCTAAAAATATTTGATTGAAAGAGAAGTCAAAAAACTAGAATTGTTACTTTATGATGACAAATGTTTAAAAGAAACCTAAAAACTAATTAATAAATAAAAGCTTAAAATTTTAAATTTAAATTCAATGTTAAATATTGTAATTTAAAAAATGCTGAGAACACTTTATTGAACTGTTGAAAAAATAGCTATAGGAAGGAAATGTTTGTTCAGAAGTAGTGAAGTTTTCTCTGATGATAGCATTTTGTTTGAGACATGTATCTTCTTGAATCAGTGTTAAATGGAAAAATGAATAAGTTGTACACTGCATAATCATCTATAAAATTTGTAGAGTACACAAAAGGACATTTATACAACTACAGATTATTAAAGGTTAAAAAGATAATAGGAAAAAAGAAAATGACACCGAATCTGATAAGAACGTGAAGAAAATTTTTTTCGGAAACAACGTACTTCTGCTCAAATCAATCAATACACTTTAATTATTTTTCAAACCTGTAGATTAGTGATATTATCCCCAGTCAAAGATGGAGAATGCATAAAAAAAATAGATGATTGAAGGAAATTTAATAAGGATTGGTAAAAAAATAAAATAAAAATAAAAAAGGAGGAGAGTAAATAATCTCGTTACTGAATTATGCAAGTTTAAATAGTCGAATAAATGAATTCAGCACAAAAATTATATTTAAGGTGATCTAAAAGTTTCATTTTGCTTAAACAAAGTATCTCATTCACTAAATAAACGTTTATTTTGGAGTATACTGTTTTTACAAGGCTGAGTACAAAAATATGAAACGATAAAAACTAGTTTCATTAAGTAAGTCTCTAATTCCTTTTGATTTTCAACTAAATCAGCTGATTAATACAGAACCAATAATGTTTAAATAAATATTAATATTAAGAATCTGACAATGATTTGGTTGTGAGTAGGAATCACGAATAATCCACAATTATGCTTATTATTTAATTTTTACATGCATCAGTGTACAACACATTTACCTACCTATGCAAAACCTAAGTTTTGCATACTTATCTACCACTCCTTCATTCAATTACATTAACAAAGCAATTAACACAAGAATAGAGCTTTATTAGTTTTCTATCCACCAAGACGATGCAAAATAAACGAATATGCAAATATTCACTGACGACAATAAAATTATAAAGCAAAGAAATAAATTTACAGTTCTGTTTTACAGGAGCCTACCAGTAAATCTCTCGTCTTTCTTATCACGTATGTTATGCATACTGTATACTTGGAGAACTTTCTTTTTTTTCTTTACTTACGTTTCGCCATAGTTTAAAAAGTCGAAAAGATCGATACAACAGCTATCACTTAAAAAAATAAAATCACACACTGACTGATACAAAAACAAATCTATATTTTCACCAAAAAAAAATGCATTTGAAAAAAAATAAATATGAAGTTGTAAAAATGACAACTAGTGGTCAATGAATGAATCATGGCTTTAAAAAAGTGGCGTGATGAAAGACATAATAAAAAGGTGAGGCCATGTCTCCATATCGTACATGAATGTTGTGTATTGAATTAGAGTAAGTAGTAGTAATAGTGACTTGTTAAAGGAAACCAGCAGCCGAAGTGGGCGGTGCCCAATTTGCGTTTGTGTGTGCTATGTCGACCAGTTATTCAGGGTGTAATTCAATAATCTGTCCTTGAAAGGATGAGGAGAGGGAAAAAGGCTCCATTCTGAAGTCCTCTTCAGTTACAAAAAAGTGGAGATGGTTGCACTTGTTGATAAGAAACTCAGACTTCAAGACCAACTGATTGTTGTGGAGAATTATAAAAGAACAAAAATCCAATGCAAAGAATTAAGTTTTAGTTTTTAAAAAAAAAAAAAAAAGATTATAAAAGAAAAATTTATAACGAATGATTCATGCTCGGACTGACGTCCGTTTTTTTTGTTACTGTCAAAAAAAAAAAAAAAAAAAAAAAAAAGTTTTGTGATAATCTCTGACTTAAAGGAACCAAGTAATTTAGAGATAAAAAAAAAAAAAGAAATAATTAACGAATAATGCTATGGGAAAAACTGACCATTGAGTCCAATGATTTGCCTTTAAAAGACCGCGACAACGATGATAGAAAAGCTACAAATCAGCACGTGGCACCTTCAACCATATGTTTTTTGTTTTGGTACTTTTACACCCCCCACCATACTTTTCTTATTCAGTTAATCTGATCAGCTATCAAAAAAGAGAAAGACTTATTTTCCTTCGATTATGGTCTCACAAACAAATCGATTTTATAAATTACGTTTTCATCGCAGATTGTGAATAACATTTTTACATGAAAATAGAATAAAATTTAAACATTATCAAGCCTTCACAAGCTCAAGCACCCAATATTAATTCTGTGAACATGAGGACCACCAGAAAAATTTCGTTCTCTTAGTCTTGAACAAGTGAAGTCGAACAAACCAAAAAGTCACCGTTCTCATTAAAAAAAAAAAGGGAAAAAACACTGTCTCTCTTTCTCACAAAGTCAAACAGGGACAAGATCTTTTTACTCGAGCAAGAAACAAGTAGCCGGCAAAACAGCTCAGTTCCGTGTTGTTGGTATTTATTGTTTTGAAGAGAGGATTACTTTTCTAAAGTTTGTCATTAAGAACTACTTACTGTAATCATCACGATGCCGGTATATCGAACATAACTATTAAATAATACTCCATTTGTGTTGTGAAGTTGTGATTGTATGTTTACATGAAAATACTGTATGTTCTTGTAAAACGTCAGCCAGTCGACTGAGACAGCGTTGTACTGAATCAAAAAAAGTTACCCCCACTCCTAGCTTTCTTATAATGCCGTTGTAAAAAAAAAAAAAAAAAAAAAGGAAGTAGTAGATTCGTAGGCGATTTCGTCCGAAATTTTTAAATTGGTGTCTTTACACGAAGCAATATTTTAAAACGAAAAATATTAGTGCCCATGTTAATTTGGCATTTTAGAATTATGGTAAAAAATGTTTCATCGTAAACTTTTTTTTTATGACATGTCCTTCAATGGGTAATGTTTGTTTTACTTTTTTTTAACTTTAAAAAGTAATTGTTCTCACAGATACAAAAAACAAAAAAAAAATAAAAAATAAAATAACAACACAGAGTCCATCCCAAAAAATGAGAGGAAAAAACAAAACTGAGGGAGACAGGGAAATGTACAATAATAACAACGAAGAGAAAACGCATTTTTATTTTCATGTCTGGTAGTCGACTATGTGTTCAAAAGGACCACCTTGCACAGAACCCATAATTAGAAAGCTGGTCTTGCAGACGATTTGCTTGCAAAAGTTAATCATCTTTTTTACACAAAGCATTATCAACTAAGTAATGATGATACCACAGACATAATCAGCTATAAAAAAAAAATAATTTCATAGTGATGAGGGTGGGGTCAACCTTAAATATAAAAATAATTTCATTGCAAAAAGTATCATGACTGAACGTAGAAAAAAAAATTCAGTTTCAACTTTCAAGTGTCTCCAAAAAGAAAGGGAGAGAGAGAAAAATATTTTAAAAGTTTAAAATGTATTTTATTTTAAAAATCAAAAATCTTTCTTGAAGCTTTTATTTTTATTTCCAATAAGCGAAATACTTTGCTGCATTTCAAATTGACTTGGAATTAATTTTTTTTTATTATCACTAAAATCATTCATATTGACAAATCTGTCAACACTTATTTTTATTAAAAAAATCTTTCAAAAATAAAATATACTTTTCTGAAACTTTATTCGAGAAATAACGGATTTAAAGAAAATATTATTTACTTTTAAGTTTAAAATAACACAGAAATGCATTTTTAAAAACAAATATTAGCTGTGTTTTTACATGAAGGTGATGACAGGTTTATTGTTATTCTATAGAGATTTTATTTATAATTTAAGAAAATGACATGAGCACCTTTTTTTAAGTACTCAGTAATCTTAAAAATGTTGCAAAATATTCTCTGTAAACTAATCTTAGGAATGTTGACTTTAACTTTTTTTTATTATAGTCATTAGTCTTATTTTTTGATAATGTTGTATATGGTCATCCATACTTAAAAAATCAGAACATTTATAGACTAATAAAAAAATAAAAATAAAAAATTATTTTAAGTTGATTAGTAAATATAGTTTTTACTTAATAACAATATCACTTAATGCAATTAAAGTAAAGCTTAATTTTAAAAGATTTGAAACTTTAAAAATTTAATTAATTATAATTTAAAAAAAAAAAAAGAAATAATTCTTGTAAAAATTCATTATGCATTGAATTTCTTTTTCCTTAAGACAATAGTGTCTTTAATAAATCTTATTTATGAAAGTAATTAAAAGCTTTTATAATTAAATAATGTCAGTTTTATTGCATTTTTTAATTTTACAATTTGGAGTAGATTTTCAGGAAATGAGTAACTATTTTCAAAAAAGAAAAAAAAAAGAAAAAAGATTTACATTATCCAAGGAATCTTGTTTAAAGTAATAAAACAAATTTATATTTTTTACCAAGATTTTCTTTAAAAAAAAGAAAAAAAAAGAAAAAAAAAAGAATGAAAAAAATTTCACAAATAATTTCATTCATTAATGAATAAATCCTGAAAATTTCATTTTGCACATGCTAGAAAGGATTAAAAAAATAAATTGGTCTTTCCTCTTTATACAAACATTTTTAAAACTTTGTTTTTATCAAGTTTGGGGCCTTTTTCATCATGCTATGCCGTTTTTTTCAGCAAATTAATGGAGGTACCTAAAAATGTTTACATTAATGTTTAGCTTATTGAGACTCAGTGATTCCTATGCTTATTATCTCACAAATATGGCTGCAAATTTTTCTCATATTTCATAAAAGACACTAAACTATAACTAAAGTGTCAATAAATAATTTAGCTATCTTTTAGCTTGTTTTATCAATTCTACTGTACTACAAACGATATTCTAAGTAAAGCTCTAGTGATGACAGAACATTTGATCTTGCATAGACAAATTAAAAATATTTGTTAAATTTCTTAACTATCATATTTTATTTTCAGTTTCATAAAATTCTTTCAGGCCCTAATTATAAATGAAAATTAGACAAAAAACAAAAAAAGGCATAATTGACAGCCATCTAGTTTTTCCTTACCTGACAATAACATTTAATATTCTTAGATCTTGTTACTTAACATGTTAGAAACTAAAGTTAAATAGTCATTCCATAAATGTTTATGAAAGAATTTTAACAAATATGGCAGTGTGTCAAAATGGATATAGAATTGGTGCCAAATTTAATTTGGGTAGCAGTAACTTGTGTTAAGCACATAACCATATTTGGTATGTTTCAATATGGTCATAGTTACCTTAAGGTTAAGAGGTCAAATATGTTGGTCTTAAGTATGCTATATAGATCAGATTGAGAGACTGCAATTAGACAGGGAAGTCATGGATATCTAAAAGATAGCCATTGAGATAATGCAACAAAAGATGATGGCTAAGTGTAAATAAGTAGATGCAACATATTTGATACTTTTTGCCATAATCAGAATGTGTGTATCTACATAAAAAGGTCAAGAAATACCAAACTATTATGGCAATTATTATCAAAAACAATGATATTTTAAAAATAAAAAAGTAAAAAACAAAACAAAACACTTATTGCTAGAAAGAAGCCTGCTTTGAAGCATTAAAAACTCATTATGTCACTATCAAATCTCATGATGACATCTCCATGTCAATATTGGTCTTTTATCAATAAAAATGTTTCTCAAAATATCTTAATACTGTATTGATTCTGCTAAAATCAGAAAGATTCAAAACAACTCTATAACAAGAGTTTTAGCCTAGATATCCAAGTACTTTTGTTCATGATTGATTCGTTCCTTTTCTACAACTCTTTGCATGTTATTTAAAGCCAGAAAAATATTTTTAGATTGGAAGAATTGGGGATGGGGAGATAATAATGGTTTAGTGATACAAGTTTTACTAATTAACCCATAGCTGGGGAAAAAGAGGTAGATTCATATCTTTGTGCATAAGTGAATATATTATGAATCCAACATAAATTGGAACTTGGTTCTCCAGTTAAGAATTCCAAGCCATTATTCATTACACCACCTGCTTACCTAAGCTTACAGTACCTATTATTCCCAAGCAGTCACCCATCTACATACTGACCAGGCTTGACATTGCTTAACTTCAGTGATCATACAGGAACTGGTGTTGTAAGCCACTTTTAAAAGTAAAGCACTATGGCTTAACCAAAGGACAAAGTGATTTTCTAACTCTAGGTTGGCTGAATTTTTGTGCCAAAGTGTGAGACAACCTAGTAAGTTAGGTGAGATCTTGTTAAATTTAAAACAGGCAAATTTGTTGCACAACTCAATACAGAACATTTACTTTCAACTAATGGTTATCAGTAAGTGAAGTCAACTTCAAAGTACAGAGCAAAAGGCTCAGTTTGAGAGAAAGTCACAGAAGGAAGATTAATTACTTTTTTAGACAAAAATGACAAGCCAAAAAAAATTGTTATCTATAAATCTGACCATCCCATGAAAAGGAGCACAGAGGGAACAAAGCAGGCCTTGCAGAACGGACATTGAAAATGGCCACTGAACTGTGCACCCCACCTCCACTTACATCTCATCTCTACTTCACTCACTTATAGCAGTAAGTTACAACCCAAGAATAAAATCTGGTTTACTGCTAGAAACTGTTTTGTTCTTTATTTGTGGGTGAAGATCTGGCTAAAGGGTAATTTTTAAACTACAAGCATTTGCACACTGTCAGTGAACCTGGTGTCTGGTCTGAGCTGTAACACAACACTAGTCTAATTCTAAACAATAATATAAATATAAACCTAAACTGACATAGAAAAAATTGTTATAAAAATGTATTTTTCACCTATATTATAAGAGGAGAATCATTTTGACATACCTCCTTCAGTTTCTGCAGGATGGATTTTAATTCTTGGAGTGGCTGGTACAAGATCATACAATGTACTATTTACAACAGGACCTTTTAAACTCTCCTGAAAGGATAAAACAAATAGAAATCAGTCATAACATGCAAAACTTAGGTTATATAAATATTTATAATAATACTTAAAGCAAGAAATCAATTACACAAATATGATGACTTGTTAATAATTTTTTTTTTTAAGAAAATACTAGATTAAAGGATTTCTGAAAAGTCACTACTAATAGCACATAAGGTTCACATAATGAGACAGCTCATAACATACAACATATGTTGCCATTGATTATTGACATCTGAATAAGAAAACCAGTGAAACAGTGATGTGTGGATTGAAATAAATAACAGTAACATTAAGAAAAATAGACAATTACAAGAATTCCAACCTGAAAATTAAGTGAATAACATTAGAATTGCCTGAGTAAAGTCAAAATTTGTCTTTTATTCATTTTTTTGTCCACCAATAATTTATCTAAATTACATCAAAATACAATGATAAAAAGATTTAATATTTGTATGAATGGCAACAGGACTGAAGTTCATTAGCTACAAATTGAATCAATCTTTCTCAAATTTTTGGGATTACTAACAATACAGACAATGACACACACTAAAAATGTCCAATGATTGATTCAGGTTACTTTGGAGAAATTTCGTAATTATCTTTTCTGAATAAAGTACTTGACAATGAGATAATTAAAAGGCAATTTTTAATGAAGACATTAAAAACAAATTGAAAAACTAGATGTCGATAACAAAAAAAAAAAAACACTGTAAACAACCTATCTGAAATAAATCTTAGCATATCTATATGACAATTTGAATGAAAATTAAAAAGCTGATTTTAGCAAGTGGAATTATCTTAACTTAAAACATTCAAGTAATTTGTTCTTATGCTTCAACCAATTTATAACCTTCTTCAGGTGTACAATTTATAAGGAAAGATAGGGATCACTTTTTTCAGAAAATGATGGCAATATACTTATCAGATCAACATCAACATTCTCAGCAAACCATACAAATGATTTTTTAAATTTATATGTACTCTACAATTCTTTCCGGCTAAGCAAAGAAATTTACTCCATTCTATAATCCACAGTGGATGGCCTTATACATACTTATACATACTTATGTATTTGTCTATTAAGCAAATGTATGCCACTTTCTTCAATTTTGTCAATCTCTAGTAGTGTTATTTATCATACTGTTTGGACCTCATTGAACCCCTTTTCATGTTTTCTTAGAATTTTATGTTCTTTTTGGATATGTTCTTAGAGTTTGACTTACAGATGCTTGATTTCCCCCTCATATTCTTTTTCCACATTTGCATAAGATATTATAAATGTAATTTTTTTTTTCTGTCTAAATTTATGGGATGAAGAGTTATCTATTAGAAATTGGATTTATTTACATTCAGACTAATGTCCTATATGATATTGTGAATTTGGTGATATAATAATTGTCAGTTCAATCTCTGGGCCAAGTAGTACATACTCGGACTCAAGTGAAAACAGGACAAACAATAATTGAGCAATAATTAATTTTACCAGATAAAAGCAATGGAGATATCTTTAGTCTTGGACAAGAACAATTTACCCACCCCCCAGATTAAATAATGGGACAAGTTCTAAAAACCCTGAAGGTTATCTGGATTGACAGACACCTGAAGAAATCCGGAGGTAAAAATGATCAAAACATTATGATAACAACAGCAAAGATGATTCTATTAGTCTGAATGTAAATAATAGAAAACAATGTTTTTTTTTGTTTTTTTTTACACATCCACTTATTTTGTGAGAGACTGGATATAGTTAAAAGGCTGCAAAGAGTAAATATTTCATTGAAAATTACCCTGACCATTTTTTTTCTTTTAAGTATACCCCATTGGACAAAACTAAAGGCTTTGCAATGAACTTTGCCTCAAACAGCACAGTAGATGATCAGGGATATCCTCTACCTGATTTCCCTGTTCTCATGGAGTACAAGCTTTGGGACCTCACTATCTTGGCTTGGGAAGTTTTCTGACTCATCAAAAATCTTGACTGCAATAAGACTACAGGTCTGGATAAAATCGCTGTTGTTGTACTTAAAAACCTTAGTCTTGAGTTGTCTTCAGTTTTAGCAAAGTTGTTTTACTGCTACTTGAAAAAGAAATGTCACCTAAGTCTGTGAAAGTTGTCAGCTCTTTGTCTTATTTTCAAGAATGCTGATGAGCATTCATCTCCATTGCAATATTGCCTTATCAGCCTCCTTAGTGTCATTAGCAAATTCTTTGAGTCTATTATCAACAAGGAGATAGCTGAACACCTCACTAGAAACAGCCTCCTGAGCAATAAACAGTATGGGTTTTGCTACTTTAGGACAATTGCTGATGTTTTAACTGCCATCAGCCACAGAAGCAGTGAAGCTTAGTCACCAGAGCAATTGTCTTAGAAATTGCAAAGGCTTTTGAAAAGATGGAGTATAAGGGTTTGTTACAAACTCTCCAGCTATGGCATCTCTGGACGTGTTTATGCAAGTATCAAGTACATTCTCTCAGGTAGGTCCATGAAAGTAGTTGTGAATGGCCAGTCTACTGAAGCTCATGGAATCAATTTGGACATCCCCTCCAAAACTCTTTGTGGACCTACCCTCTTTCATCTTTTTTTTTTTAATGATTTACCCAGAAACATTCTCAAATCATTAGTAAGCATCTATACAGAGGATACTTCTGTTTATGGACACACTTCAAAAAATCAAAAATGATTTGATCCTTGCAGTTGATCTCGCCTCTGACCTAGCTCTAACAACTCCTCCATAAGAAGAAGGAAAAAAAATGGCTTGTAACTTTCAATACCTAAAAAACCAAATGAGTAATGATTCATCAGACTGAGTTTTTTCTAGTAATGATGAACTCTCAATGATGTTCCATACTTTGAATGTCCATTATGTCTAAAGTTCATTCCTCATCTCAGAATGGAACTAATATATGATCCATTGCTAAAGATGCTGGAAAAATGTCCAACTCAGTATCCACTTCTTCATTTAAGTTTTATCATTACAGGAGCTAGATTAGACCAAAAATGAAGTATTGTTGCTGTATCTGGGTTGGAGCTGCTCAATGCTCCCTTCTCTACCTTCAGAGAGTGCAAAGTTGTTTATTTGGTCTTGCGGAAGAAGACATTCTCCACTCTACAGTCTCTTTCCTCACAGACACAACATCACAAACCTATCACTATTTCCATGGCAAATGTTCTGATGAGCTCAATTCCTTAGTTCCTACCAGCTCAGACCTTTACTTCTAGGATGCACCATGTTACTTCTACACCCTCATTTCCCCGGTATTCCAAATATAAGGAGAAACTGTATCCCTAAGACTGCTATTTTGTGGAACAGACTTCTGTATGGATGCTTTCCTGAACACTAAAGTCTTATCCTCTTTAAGTCAATAGTCACTTGTTATCTATCCTCACTTCCTATCATCTCTTCTTTCATTCATATCACAATCATCATAACCATTTTGACAACAACCTTGAGTGGTTCATGAGCATTGTATAGAATGAACACAAGTAAAAGGAAAAAAAGGCCCTTGGAATCATTTATTCACTTCTGTCATACATATGACACATACTCATCATCTTTGGCATAATATCAGATGGATAGTTGTTGCTTTGGAGTGTACTGCTTCTATGATTCAAGTATTCATTTAGATGATAACCTTTGCACAATGTTGAAACCAACAAAATATCACTTTAACATATAAAGAATGGTTTGATCCAAATAGCCTGAGTGTTGCTTTTCTTTATTAGACATATTTGTGACTATTAACCTGTTATATATTGTTTTGAACATATTTTGATATATTCTTTAGGCTTCTTCATGTGCACACAAATACATCAATAAGTCTGTAGCCTGCTGATAAAAGAATTTATTTATTAACAGCATAAATCAAATATTATATACTGACAATTGCAGATCAAAATTCAGCTAATAACTGTTTGTCAGGCTATGAAGATTTTGCTCCACTCTTGCATTTTGGTTTTACTATACCACAGTTTAACAGACACAAAATCAAGTACTGAGATCCTATATTGATTTCTTATTGTGAAAAAAAGAGTTTGCAGTTCTTTAAATGGATTTGCATTGATCTTTAGCATGGAACACTTTCATTTGTTAAAATTAATTTTTCTGAGTTACATTTTCATATAGTATTAAAACTATTTGTTTTAATTATGCATTCATTTCTTGATTGACACATTTATGGCTTCTTTAACCTTACAAAATGTTTTTCCTTTGGAGAACCAGCTTTTGTAAGGAGATTGCATAGTATAGTTTTACTATGAAAGGCTAACCTGATATGATATTGACTGCAAATATTTTGTAACCTTTCTACTATGTGACCAAAGATTAAATATCATCCCATAATAGAGAAAATAAGACAGAAACCAGCTACTCTGTAAAATTAAGACTTTAGTTGTTGTCACCATCAGACCATAAATGGAAGGTAAGTGCAATGAGTTCATTCTGCTCTTTGAAAGAAGGTCAATACAAAAAGAAATAAATGGAAACCAAAATGAATGAGGCCACATATGTGAATTTGTCAATAAATAAATACATAAGTAAATTGAATGTTGATTAAACAAAGTGCCTCCTTCTTAGTAACAAATATTTACAGAATACTTTGGGGGAAAATGATCAATATTACAGAAACAATCACTAAATGTCAAATATGTACACTTTATACAAGCAACTATTTTTTTTTAATTATTAAATGAGTAAATTAAAACTAATTTTTCTTAATGTTTTGATTTAAAAAAGAAATTTTAACTCATTTACTAAAACAGGCAACATATTTCTTTTTGTAAATTTCTTTACTTAGACATGCATAGGCAATCAGATTAAATCAAGAAAAACATTAAAAAAACAATGATTTTAAAATTAGAAAAGGTAAATGTTGATATTGTAGTCTACCAAAGACTTGGATTTCATATATTTACTATGCTTAGCTTAGTATGACACAAGATAAGAGGAAATTTTTCTGTAGAAAAGTATATTTAATAAGATAGTTGTTAAAAA